TACTCTAGCAACATCTCTAACAAGATCATCGACATCTTCAAAATGAAGTATAAAGGTATATTGTTCCAATAGTACATCCTAAATCCACTTCAAACAAAATTGAATTTTGCATTATATTCTTTAATAGGGTGCTTGGTAAATGTTTAACGTTGATTAGAAGTATTGAAAAGAAGAATGAGATCAACTTAACAATTTGCATTTTTTAAAATCTTGGATGATAAGTAGGCTCTCTAGTGTATTTATTTTGTTGTTGTTAGTTTCATAATCTAAAGAGCTTGGGTTTTGCAGAGAAGATTCGGTTAAGAGTAGTTGCCAAGCGAATCCCACCTTGTGCAAGTCTCTTCTCTACTATTGGTAATCGAGAGAGGAAATAATCATCTGCAGAAATGTGAGATCAAGCAGAATATGATCATGCCATTATGTGGTCAAAGAAAAGCTAAGATCATGTTTCAAAGAATAGGTACCTCCTAAAGTAGTCCCTGGGGTGGCATTCCTGTAAGCATACTTGCATGCGAGATCTATGCTTTCAGAAGCATACCTGAACAAATCAAGAAGTTAGATTTCTATGCTATCAAGCAACATTACAAGTCTTTAAAATACAAAATGTTTTCCATTAAAATCGCTACAACGGAAATTTTCATTTATAGATTAAATGCTTACTCATTTGGACATGCCGTTTGGTTAAGTTGACATGATTCCCACAACGGAACATCATTTGACCAGCCATTCTATATTAAGACAGAGGTTAGAAGAAAGTACTCATATTGTGAGTTTCTCTTGGAGATGGTTATAGTATGATGAAGCTCGATAAAGAAAGTAAGATCGTACTGTGAGTTTGGCTTGAAGGACTTGAATCATGAGTGGAAGACTTGAATTGTAGTATGTTGTAAGAGCAGATTCAATTATCATGTTATCCCAAACCTTCACAGTTAAAGAGACCTTTTAGAAATTGGATCACTAAACTAAGATCCAAGTCAGCAAACAGAGACTTTTTATTAGCATCAATCTTATCGATAAGAAAACACTAACATGGTGCAAATTTGTTTTGCGATTGTACCAGCGGACTATTATCGTGTTACCACCTAGATCTCCAAGAAAACCAGTATGCAAAGGCTGTGAAACATCAAGATCCACATAAGCATTAGCCATACTATGTTCTTATTAGAGTAACATCAAAATCATATAACTCAGACAACATTTGGTTCAAAAATCATCTAAATAAGACATGTTTGAATGGCGAAGCGATTTTACCTGATGGACATCTCCCATATAATGTGATAAGAACATGAGAGCCTCTGTCATATTATCTGCAAAAAAAAAAAAATTACTAGTCAAACTATGTTCCATATAATCTATATGCAAGTTAGTAAAACTTAAACATAGAAAGTATCAAATTCACCAACTCACAGTGAACTATACTCTGTGAGTTTTCAGAAGCAGACATAAGTTGGTTTGTGTAATTGAAGATAGCTCCTGTTACACACCAATCTTTATGCTTATGACTATCGTGGCAGTCGCCTTTAGAGAAGACAAAAAGACAGAGATTTGACTTTAGCATATAAAAATCTATGCAAATGGAAACTTAAAAACATGTATGAAGTTGGAGGAAAAGAGAAACCCACGACAATATTCATAGTTGCATCTGTATTCAGGCGTGTTAACATAGTGCAAGACGCTAGTCCATTGCCATTGTGAAAGGCGTTTAATTTCATCAGGCCATGAGCAAAATGCTGCTAGATCACCATCAGCAGATTCAGGCAGAAGTCTCTTCATTGCAGCTACAGTTTCTTCCTCAAAGTATCCCTGAGGATAGGGAAATTG